TTTAAAGAGTGTTTTAAATTAAACATGCATTGGATGATTGAGTATATGTCTGAATAAATATATGCATATATTTAAGGCCTGTACAAGAAGCGTTGGGTAGGAGTATGGGTATGACATGTGTCAGGTACAGGCCTTGTCATTTATTTAAGCTTGCTCACTTAATCATCTTCCTACTATAATTCTATTGTTCCTTCTTTATTCTATACTAGACAGCCAGAGGTACTTTCCTATACCCTAATTTTAGCTCCAACAGCCACCTCACCTGCTTGTTGCTATCTTCTTCTACCAACCAAACAGCTCCAAAGAACCCAGAAATCACCTTCTTTGCAGCCTGAAAACTCTTAGTCCTGTGTTATATTATGCCTTGCATATGATTTTATTTCCCAATATCAAACCCAACCTTCTCTTTGACTACGTTGCCTACACTTTTTACTGTTCTAATTGAGAAGTTTGGAGGATCCTTTTTATTCGTATGAGTTCAAAAAACAGGCTGCAGGAAAAAAAATGTAGGCATCGCTACGTTCATGGACTTATCTTGGACGGCTTTATTTGAAGCCTGACTTATCCTTATAGTTGACCACGCTAAGAACTCAACCTTGAATAGAGGAAAGATACATTAGTTTCTAGACGTTGACATGCTCGAGAGAACTCCAAATCCGATGACATCACAATAAATAAAGGCATTGGTCATCATGATTCATGATACTATTATTGATGGCTCATGCTTCTCCTTCAAAGTGAACCAGAAGAGTTTAGATCAGATAAGGTACATATTTGTTAGGATCTGCTTCAGAAGCAAATGAGAAATGTTTTGGATTCTAATAATAGACGAGTTTTCTGAAATTAATCAGTAAGTGAGTCACGATTAACATTAAAGCGCAAGTACAAAGATCAAACTTTGAGAAGAACCCAACAAATAATTCAAAACTTCGCAACGAAAAACCCAATCTCACAGTGCAAGCAATGAAGGCCAAGAGGAGGAAGGCCTGATCGCCCAAGCTCATCCTGCACATCCCGATCCTCACAGGCAAGCTAGGGTTTCCAACCTCCGTGCTCATCCGACCCCCTCCGACATCAGCGCTTCCATCGATCACCTCGAGCTTCGCGTCGCCGGGTCGATTAGAACCGCAGCAGGATGGCCGACGGGAGACGAAAAGGCGGGGGCTTTTTGGGGATTGTAGGGAGAAGTTAGGGTTTCGATGGGGATTTTGGTGGATTCGATGGGTTAGGGCCGGCGAGGGGGGGAGGTGGAGGGTACGAGGGGAGGAGGAGGAGGGAGAGAGGAGCATAGTTTTGAGGGAGGGATATGCGACAGAGGAGACATGGAGCAAACGGGTGCTTACGGTTTAAGGGTGTGTGTTTGGATGCTCCGCCGCTAACACTTGGTTTAAGACCCCAACTAGGTCTGTTGTAAACATGGAGCAAAATCAGAAAATCACAGGCCAAAAGGCCGGCTAAATACCCATATTGGTATTTTAATTCAACCCCATTTCCCAACAAGGTATTTTAATTAGGAAATTCGGCGATAAGACATTTTAATTGAATAAAATTACCATTTAGGTCCTTTTTCTCGTCGGCGGCCACTTTTCCGGCGAGAACAGATCACGTGCGTTGCATGTGGGGGCTTAATCCGTGTTTAATATGCTGATGTGGCTCTGTATTCTGACGTGGCAGGGAGAATAAAAGAGGGATCGAATTAGGGAAAATTGGGAATTAGGGTTTATGACAGCGGGCCATTGGAAGAGAAGAAGCTATGTCATCGGCATCAAATTCAAGCTCTCATTCAAGCTCTCGTTCTAAAGCAAGCAGGGTGAGTGGAAAATTGGGATCGCATGTAAGTAATAATCATGGTTTGAATTCTTTGGCAGGTATTAGAAGGTGGAACGAGGAAGCAAGGACGGTTGGCATGAAAATCTGTAAGTGTAGAATGGATTGTGGGTATTATACATCATTTACAGATGAAAATCCTGGGAGAAGGTTTTATAAATGTCAGAATCCTAATGGTGGCTGTGGAATGTGGGAATGGTTCGATAGACCTCTCTGCAATGTGTCTTCTACTCTATTTCCTATTCTACGAGATGAAATACTTAACTTGAGGAGTGAATTGAAGCTCAGGGATAGGCAGATTCAAAGAGTTGAGGCCGAAGTGAAGGATTGCCATGTTGAAAATGCCAATTTCAGAGACCAGCTCCAGGTTTTATACGATGAGAACGCTTGCTCTTTGGAAGAAATATCAAAATTGAGAGATGAGAGTTTCAGATTAGAGGGTTTGCTTCAATTGGAGAAGAGGAGGATGATGTTGCTGAAGAGAGGAAGTTTGATATCACTTTTGTTTGTAGTCTTTTTATTGTGTATTTTTTTTGGTTTATGGACATGGATATGTAATGTTTAAGAGCATATTGTATGAACTTATGAATTTAATGAGAAGAAGCATCAGTTTGTGCAGATCTGTCACTGTTTATGAGAAAAATTTGTCATGGTATACCCTGTATTCATGTATTATCTTTGTGAGTGAACCTGTACAATATAGTTTTCTTGTGACAAAGCATACTCACAAGCTCATAATCACATTGCACAATCAAACGTAAAAACCAGTAAGTCCAAGCTTAAGTTCATGTACAGAAGCTCATAATCACATTGCCCTGTATTCATGAATTATCTTTGTGAGTGAACCTGTACAATATAGTTTTCCTGTGACAAAGCATACTCTGAGTGAACCTGTACAATATAGTTTTCCTGTGACAAAGCATACTCACAAGCTTAAGTTCATGCACAGAAGCTCATAATCACATTGCACAATCAAACGTAAAAACCAGTAAGTCCAAGCTTAAGTTCATGTACAGAAGCTCATAATCACATTGCCCTGTATTCATGACTTAAGTTCATGCACAGAAGCTCATAATCACATTGCACAATCAACATACTAACCAGTAACTCCAAGCTGAAGTTCATGTATAGAAGCTCATAATCACATTGCACAATCAACATACTAACCAAAAGCCAAACTACATTAGTCACTCTTTGACTGTCATGTGTTTGTCATGATTACAATAACCAGCAACAAGTAAAAAGTCATTCAACTACCTCAAGTCTATATATTACCAAAAGCTAAACTATAATTACATATAATTACAACCCACTATTATGTGCACATGAAGCCTGTGTATGCTCCTCTTGGTGTACATCCTGGGTTGAAATTGGAGTTGATTCCTGTATGATTGTTGCTTGAGAGGCACTTGGGTCTCTATAAGCTACTTCACCATGATCACCATGCCATAGGCCAAAACCCTCTGGCATAATGACTGCATTATTTCTTCCTTTGCCTCGGCCCCGTCGCATATCACTCCTTCCTCTAGCATTTTGAGATTGAGCTTACAGAATACATAACAAATTCATATATCAGTAGGAATCTATATGAAAACTTGGTGCACAAGAGTATGTATTGTTCATTACCTCTAGCCATTGATCTTTTATTTATGAAAACTTGAGATGGTGGAAGAGTGTTAGTTTGACTATGCTCTTCAATGGAAATGTTAGGTCTGGTTTTGCTCCCCTTTGGTCTTCCTCTTTTCTTCCTTCCACTTGTGCCTTCATCAAGAACTTGAGATTGATTTTCCTAGAAGTAAATCAATGGAGAAATTAGATAATACGATTGCATATGACTCTCAATATTTTTTTGCCTTATTTCAAACAACTCATCATCATCACTTCCTAATGGGCTCTTATGACTCTCAATATCTTCAGATTCTGCTGAGACTATGTCTCCACCATCATTCTCATCTACATTTTTATCTGTTTTCATTGGTTGCTTTCCCTTTCTTGATCTATTCTTTGCACTAAACTCATCAAATAATTCCTTATCTTCACGGATCAATTCTAAAATTTTCATCCTCCACTGAGTCATCATCATCATCACTAGAAGATGTTTGTGCAGATTTGTGAGGGGGTGAATTGGAGGGACTGGGCAGTGGTGATTTGGAGGGAATTGACAGTGGTGAAATAGTAGGGTTTGAAACACTCACTTGGCCCTCTTTTACATCTACTCTTTTCTTGGGTGTTAACTTCTTTCTCCTAACCATAGGAATATTTCTTTTAGGAGAAGTAGCAACTTAAGTAGGACCTTCTATCACTTCTAATGGCATGTCAACATCGTGATTTGCATAGATTTCTATCACTCTGTGCCTCAATGCATGCTCAATCATTTCTGCAAGATCCTGATCTGAATTTAGAGGCTTTAAACCTCCACTAGCCAGTCCTACACTAGGAATAGAATAATACAACATCCCGACATTGTTATAACCATATTCTGTAATACGCATCTTCAATTGTTCTAATGAAATATCTTCTGCATCACAAAACTCAACATCAACTGAACCACCAATGTATGCCACATTACTTCCGAAGTCCAATGTCCCCCCATGTCTATATTTAATCATAATTTGCTTAGCCATCTGCATAATTTACGAAAAATGATAATAATTCTATCAAATTCAACCCATTATTTGGAAAAAAACCACAACTTTGAAAACCCTAATTCTATCAAATCTAACAAAATGCAACAAATTTTAGGTTTATCTTACATTTAACTCAAACTAAATATGTGATTAACTTATCCTCTTCAAAGCCACCAAAAGATTTCATAGGTATAATGAGAATCAAACCTTCGCATTCCTGTCAACCCGTACCAACTCGTCGTCCTCCGCAAATCACCTAATGCATGCACCAAGGAACACCATCAGTTGAAATCTCTGCAATTCGTCGCCTTCAACTGCCTCAACGATGATGGCTCACTCTCTATTTCTCCCTCTCTCTCGCGCTCAATTTCTGAAAACGAAAGGGGGAATATGTCCTATTTTGGGTGGGAATTGTTTTTAGAGGGTTAATTCCCTGCCACGTCAGAATACAGAGCCACATCAGCATATTAAACACGGATTAAGCCCCCACGTGCAACGCACGTGATCTGTTCTCGCCGGAAAAGTGGCCGCCGACGAGAAAAAGGACCTAAATGGTAATTTTATTCAATTAAAATGTCTTATCACCGAATTTCCTAATTAAAATACCTTGTTGGGAAATGGAGTTGAATTAAAATACCAATATAGGTATTTAGCCCCAAAAGGCCCTTAAATACCCTATTGTTTCATCATATTTGTACTTAAATATCCTAAGTCGTAAAAAGTAACTCTTTGATATCCTAAGTTGTAAAAAAGTAGCACTTTGATACTCTGAGTTGTAAAAAACTGGCACTTAAAAACCCTATTTTTCACCACTTTAACACTTAAATACCTCACGTTGTAAGCAAGTGACACTTTAACACCCCTGAGTTGTAAGAAAGTGGCATTTCAATACTCTAAGTTTTAAGAAAGTAGCATTTTAATACCCTAAGTAATTTGTCATGTAAATATTCCTAAAAAAATTTCCATGAAAACTAGCAAAATGTACTAATGTGCCAATATTTTACAATTTTAAGGTATTAAAGTGGCACTTTTTTTTACAACTTAGGGTATTTAAGTGTAAAGTTTGTGAAACAATAGGATATTTAAGTGCCATTTAGCCAAAATCACATTTGGTGTTGGCCCAATGTTAACTAAACAATAAGTCAACCTTTTAACCGGATTAGTTCCACTAACTTGGATAGTAGGAGAGTTACCAAGCACCTTAAGGGTGTGTAAACTCGGCCAGGACTGAACCCGATCCATTTTGGGTATTGTTCTGTTTGACAAAAAAAATAGACCACTTCTGGCCTAATTTTTGTAGGGTTAATAATGCCCACTAAACCAGTTTCAGTTTCGACCGCTCTTATCCTAGTTCAAACTTGAACTAATTTCGAATAGAGCTAGGTCAAGACTGGTCCTGACCCAATCTTGATAGAGTTGTCAAACACACCCTAAAGGTGTTTCAAGAGTAGATTGTTTGCACTTAAATACTAAAATTTACATTATTTTAAGTTTGATATTCCGAAGATTTTTTTTTCTAAATAAGACGCTAAAGATCAAGTAAGAACCTTATCGGAGCACCTTACAAAATGTCGGGTGTTTGCAAATTTTCAGACGAGGGTTTTTTCAAAGAAATGAAAAAAAATTCTTATGCCTCAAGGGTATTTTCATCGCTTGGGATTAAGCAAAAATATTCTTTTGGTGTTTTGTCAAAAAAGCAATGTTCTTATTTTCTTCGACAATCTAATTGAAGAACTCTATCTTAAACACCACCAAAAATTCAATTATTATTTAAAAGTAAGAACATAGGCCACAACGTGAAGAATAAGTTATTATTCATTTGTGCAATAAAGCAAAGAAAAAATAATTTTTTAGGAACCAATCATTCATTTCAATTATTTCTTTTGACAACCAAATGGAAGAAGTCTATCTTAAAAATTTATTTGGTCCTCGCAATCTATATTAATTAATAGGAAAAATGTTATGAGCCCTCAAAATTAAAAGGAAAGTTGACTACCCCTAAGACTAGATCAACATGTCATTTAGTCCTAAAACTAAGTTTGTAATGTATTGCCCCCCCCCACACACACACACCCCCCCACCCACCCACCCACACGCCCGCCCAAAAAAGGAACTCCCACCAAAGCAATGACAAATTTGTTTTATTTTCTCTATTATACCCTAGTTAATACCCTAATACCCTATGTGATACTCTCTCTCTCTCTCTCTTCTCTCTCTCTCTCTCTCTCTCTTCTCTCTCTCTCTCTCTATCTCTCTCCTCTCTCTCTCTGCTTCTCCTACTCCTCTCTCCTCTCTCTCATATATATATATATATATAATATATATATATATATATATGTATATAATATATATATATATATATATATATATATATTAATATATATATATATATATTATTATATATATATATATATATCATCATTCTCTCTGCTCAAAACTCATCCCTCCATGGTTGTTACCAGCAAATTTTCATCACTTCACACACCCTCTCTCTCTCTCTCTCTTCATTTTCTTTTCTCTTCCCCCCCCCCTCTAAATCACCAACAACAACATTGTTGGTTATCTTTGATAACCAACTAATCCTTATATCCGCCGCTCCTCTCTTTCTATCTTTTGCTCTCTCTCTCTCCAAACTTAACTCCCATGGCCATCACCACTAACGATGATGTCATTACTATTGACAACGGACCCACCACAACCATCAACAAGCTCCTAATGTGATCCTAACCAACACGATCTCCACCATCACCAACATCTACACACACAACCACACCTCCCTCTCTCCCAAAAATGACGTCAAAACGCTCAACTCATGCCTCCCTCTCCCTTTCTCTCTGTTGTTAAGTTTGAAATTCTTCGATATATCTGGACATCTAATTATTAAACTTAGTAACTCATTTATAAACTAATATTTAAACCTAACAATAAAGTCCTAAGT